TTGACAGAGAGAGAAACAGTGAGAGAGGGAACACAAGCAGGGGGAATGGGAGAGGGAGAAGCAGGCTTCTCACGGAATAGGGAGCCCGATGCCGGGCTCGATCCCAGGACCCTGAGATCATGACCCGAGCCGAAGGCAGACGCTTAACGACTGAGCCACCCAGGTGCCCCACAAACCTATCTATTTTAAAGGCAATATAATTTTAGTAAGCAACTTCATGCCTGAAGAATTAACAATTTTATTTATGACATTTTTCCCTCAGCTTTTTGATATACAAATATTTCTGAGATGCCGTGTCATGCATGTCATGAGTATATCTTATATACCATGGATATACATATTATGGTATGACATGGTATATCATAGACAAAGTAGTTTACCAAAAAACTATTATAGACACACTAATCAGCAGAAATTTTTCCATTAAAAAATCCATATGGATAGGGAGAACATCGGGGAATAGAAGATTTGACATTTTTCAAGTAGTCACACTTATATACCTATCCTTAGGTTTGGACTGTCCTGCTCACTTGAAAAAAAATTTACAGTGATTTCTTCATCACATAAAAACTTCTGAGTCTATGAATATAGAATAGAAATGCTGCCCAAATAATTTCATTTTTTCCCCATTCATTATTTACTTAAAGTAAATTGATGGACTTGTGGAATGCTTTGAGAACCCATGAACAAATAGAAATAGTCCCTTATGGATATTTCTCCCAATAAAAGATGAAAGGATATCATTCTGTCAGTGAACAAAATCAGTTATAGTAGCTCAACATAGGATATGAACTCTAAAAAGAACTTTTGTTCATCTGTGGAGAAAGCCAAACTATTTTGGAAACTAATCCAGAGATGAAAATCAAACCAAAACCCCCAATTGTTATAGACCACAAATATATATTAGTGATATTTTTTTATAAATTAATGAATAACGTTTTCATCCAAAATTTTAGCTGAAAATAAAACTTTAGAATATAATTTGCAGTATTATTTGTTACCTATAATGTATAAGAATTCAAGTGCAGTGCTTTTCTTCATTAATGACAGAAATTAATAATGATCTTATATGGCTATATTGTGAACTTATTAATATACTAAGCAGTTTTTTGGGTTTTTTTTTTGTTTCATTCTTTATATTTTGTTGTCCTGAGGTTGTTGAGATATATATACATATATATATATATATGGATCACTGCTATTACAAAACCCCTAGTATTTTAAGACATGTTAAAGTCATTATAAATATTTGTTTTATTTAGAGGTTGTCATTTGCTCATACTAAATATGAGAATATTTAATTCATCTCAAGACAAAGAATATAAGGTTGAAAACTTTAAGACTATCAGCCAAGGGCATCTATTTGATCATTAGATCAAATTGAGGAAAGCATGGACTTTACCCTTAAGAACTTCCGAAGTTGAAGAAATAAGCACATAAACATTTTGACTATAATCCAAGTGTAATCAGGGCTAGGTAGACATCTATAAAAATTGTCACTTGAAACCACAGAATATTGTGTTTAACTTTGCTTTACACAAAGTTGATGATGATTTCAAAGAGGAGGTAATGCTTGATTTAGTTTGTGGACAAAGATTTTGTAGGCAAAGAGAGACACAAGCCATGGGATGGCAAATCCACTGATTTTGTGGCACTGCTCTCCTCAGTTTCCCCTGGTAGATATTTCTTCACCCTTCTCATCCTACAGGACTACAGGCACATATCATCATTAGAGCACAGCTTGCACACAAATAAATGCTGAGTTGTTTGTCCTGGGCTACATAATGGCGCACCTGCATGGAAGTTAATACTGGGTTCAGAATTCTTCAATTTATTCTCTAAGTCTGGAAGGAAGGTAAATGTCCATGTAATTATATGGATATTGAACTGGAGTAGGAAAAAAACAGAAGAAAGAAGTTAAAAATTATCAGAAAATAATCTGGTTGCAAGATGACGTAAAATGAATTGTCTGTTTTGGATAGACATTACATACAGCTTGAAAGACATCTTATTGATTGGCATGTAGTGATTGGCATGTAGTGTGCATCTAGTGCAGTAGCAGACTGGACTTCTGCAGCAAGAAGACCAGGAATTGAATACTTTGGTACTTAACCAATTATAAAGCGTGGAACATTCATATCTTCAAAATTCAGTTTCTTCCTTTCTAAAAATGGAATAATGTGTTGTTGTTGTTTTTTTTAAATTTAGAGATTTACTCTAAGAATTTAGTAAATAAAATATAAGTGCATGGCATGGAACAGATATTCAATAAAAGTTTGTTAGAACGATAAATGAACAAAAGAGAGGGAAAGAAGCAACTAGAGCTTTGAGGTTAGAGACCATTAGAGCTTTATTTCTGATTATTTGTTATTTGCCCATTTGTTGGCCCTAAGTAATAGCTTATTACACATCTCCTCCCATTGACTATATAAACATGTACAGAACAGCCATATGGTCAGTTCCAGAAATGCTAATAATCTATACTTCATCTACTCATTTTGCTGTGCTTCATACTAAAGATGCCTTTTCTTTGGGACATGTCTTCATTTTTGGCTATTTTTTTAGATCAAAAAGTCTTTGGAGCCAACTGTTTAGATTTTGTATTTGTGTCTCCTTTGACTTTTCTTCTGCTTCTGACAGACTTGGCAACTGGAACTTATCCCTGAGATTTGGGTAGGAATTTCTCCATTTTGAAGTACCATTTGGCAAATTGATCTTTTCTTCACATATGGCCAAAGCAGTTGAGTTGGAGATTAAGGGGTAGCCATTTCTGAACCTTTTCCTTGTAGAGCTGGATTGAGCCGGATTAGGTCTTAAGCCTTTCATCTACTTCTCCCATTAAATTCTATCAAAAGAAGCTATATTAGTGAGGGACTAGAATTTACAATAGCATTACTTTATTAGCTTTGATATACAATCAAGGTCATGGTGTAGGAAAGAAAGAGGATAAGTCAGCACTGGGGTAATGAGGAGAGAAAGAACAGGATATCTAAACATTTACTTTTATTATTAAGGATAGTCTTCGAAAAAGGCAGTATTATATTATATAGTAATGACTTTCCAAATGCAACTGTTATTTCTGATAAAGGAAATTTCTTATAAAAAAGCAAAAAGATACTTTTTGGACTACAAGTAGCCTCAAAATTAATTATGACATATTATGTTATCATATATAATCACACTGTAGCATTCATATTTTCAGAAGAGTTTTGACTAAGTATGATGGTTATACATTGCCTTTTTTCTCTTCCCCCGTGTCATGTTTGGCAGCGGTTTTATCCAAGGCATCTCCCTCACTTTCAGTTTTTGGGAAATAAGCTTCAAATGTTTATCTTGACTCCTTTCAAAGAATACTTCAATACATGTTTATTTTAGGTCAAATTTCTTTTAATTTAGAGTTAGGATCCTCAGCATCTAATTTCAATGGAAAGTTCCCTCAAACCTACCAGTGCTTCTCATTTATTCACTATAAAAAATGATGTAATACTTAATGTATCCAATCATGTAGTTTTGTTCCTTTATAAATCAAACATGCAAACACAATGAATAAATAAGCAGTCAGTTGGTAGATTCATGGCAATGAAAGGGGTGTAGAACATTTGTTCAGCTTGACAGGTACAAACATTTCTCTACTGATGATTTATATAAATGTCCAAGGTGTATTCATTTTACTGAGAGAAAAAAAAATGCAGAAACCATAAAGTGCAAGGGAAAGTGTGTGTTATTGGAAGATCTGATATTATATATAAGTTATAACATGAATATTTCAGAGTGACTTTGATAGTCCTACAACTGTAGTTTCTCAAAAAGAGAACCTAGAATAGTCTCTGTGATTATTTAAATACAAATCCAACCCAAGGTTGCAATATATTATTTTTATAGTTTTCTGGTGCTAGAGAGTTTAAGTAGAAATATTTCTAAACCTATCAAATGTCTAAAACCACAATATAAAGCTTACAAAGATCTATGATATGGGAGGAATACATATGCAATCAGGTATCCTTGATCAAATTTAGGGAAGAAGAAAATTATACTTCTAATACAAAGATCCCTGAGAGGAAATATCTCAATTTCTTCAATAAAAATGCTGAAAGCACTGAAGACAAAAATATCTCCTAACTATCAAATGTGTTACTGCTATAATTTGTATTGTTAATAGAATGTTTGGTTTCTATACAACTGGGAATAAAAAGATTTCTGTTTAACATAAAAACAAAGAAAAGTGCACTTTGATATTACCTTGGAAAGTACAGCATGAGACAAAGCTTTAGAAATATTATAGCAGGACACAAAATTGAGGGAAAGGAGGAGAGTGAAACAAGAAAGGAGAGAAGGATAATGCAAAGAGGTTGTATTCAGTTGGTCACCCTGAGGACAACTGGTGCTGATTTGCTTTAGGTCATTATGAGGAGTCTTATAATACATCAGGAATTTTCTGCTCTGGAGAGCAATAGATGGAGGTTTTTATCTATTGGTTGCAGTCCCTGAAAAGTCAATTGTTACCCCAAAGATCTTGAATCTCCAGTACTTCTGGACTGTTCATACCTCCTCTCTTTTAGGATAGTCTAGGTTTGTCGGTGGCTCTAGTGGTTTGGAGTAGTAAGAATGCTTTGATGTTTTCTTCATACTTTGCTTCCCCATTCTTTCCTGACCTTCCTCCTCTGGTCATGGGATAGGGAGAAAGAATGCATAAGAAAAAGGTAATGTCTATTCATTTAATTAAGAAAGATTGTAATCCCTCCTTGGTGGGCCCATGTCTATGGGCTAGATGTGGGCAGAAAATGGCTCATTCCTGTACAGACCCCTAGAAATTGGTTTTCTTTTGTGCTACCCGGCAGTCCCTTTCATCTGACCCATACCTCTTAGCCTGCCCACAACAGCTTCGTACAACTTCACACACCCATACTAACATTGTTTGAACAAGGTCTAAGTTCCTGATCTCATCTACTTTCTTCAGTCAGTTCTTGCACTCTAAGACCCCTCGTTTTTATCACTTACAGGCCTCGAGAAGTGCTGGGACCAGTGGTAGCAAATCTGCCCTTTCTCTATGTGGAAGTTCTCAAATGTATGTCCTTCCAAGATTTGGAGAGCTAGTGAAATGGTTGCTGGGTTATGCTACCCAGATCGCCCTCAAAAAATGAGCTTACTCCTGTAGCTGCTAGGGTTGTTGCTGGACAATGGCCTTTAGTTCTTGGCCTTCTTAGGAATTTTCTGGTTAAATGCTCTGTCCAAAATTGTGCCTCCTTCAGGTGCAGTCTACATTCAGTAACTTCACATTGTCCAGGTATAAAGGTATGACCCTTCAATTTAACTTAGGTCAACTCTGAAGATCCATCTTACTTAACAGCTTTGTGTAGGGTTGATTGGGTCCTTCATTGTAATTGCCTTGTACCACAACTCAACTTCTCCCTCTACCCATTCTTAATTCCTTGCCCTGACTTCCATAGGTGTTGGTCTCAGTAGTGCTTCCTAGTAAACATCCTTTTATTCTACAAAACTTGACCTGATGACAATGGTAAAAACTCCTCCACTCTTGAGGGTAGGGAATACCTCCTTTCCAGAACACCGTACTACCCCAAAGAGACACCCTTCTTTCTGGCATGGAGGTGGAGTGAGGCTAGTGAATTTAGTACCAGTTTTGTAGCTCTAAAGAAGTCTCATGGAGTAGAGGCTGTTATCTCTAGTATCTATCTGAACATAGAATTGGGGAATAATTTTCCTTTTTTTTGTCCTCAAAAAAAAGCCATTGTGTTAGTCCCAGTTACCAGACAATAGAAAAACCCTCAACATCTGGTTACCTTTGATTTTTTTTCTCTTCTTCCTTATGAGGGCACCAGCAATTGGATGCAAGTTTGTTTGTTTTTCTCCTTCAAGACAACAAGGAAATATTTACTTTCATTATAATTATGAAACTACAATAGCCAATTAAATTGAGCATAAGTTATCTAATGCTAGATTTATGCACATGTTCAACACATATTAACATTTAAGTGTGTTTATGTATATAATAACAATCATTAGCAACACAATTGAATATGTCTTAACTTTTACTAAGCTTAAAAACATTTAAATCAGTTTCTCATATTTTTCTTCAATAAGCAAACAAAAATACACTATTTCTTAAGTGATCTTTCAGATTTTCATTATAACATGTCACTACTTCTCTGCTTGTATGTTTAATATTACACTGCTTTGTCTTCATTTACCCTTCAGTTACTGAGGTGAAAATTTTGACCTAGAGCATACTAATTACTTGGCTTATTAGCTTCACATTATATCAGTAATGGGGTGATAGCCAGCATAATTACTATGACTTGAAAAATTACGCTTTGCTTTAGTATCATGAACTCTGAGATGTTCTCTATTTTTTACAACTCTTCTAAGGTTGTTAAACAGAATTTTTATATGTTTAACTTTTAAGAAAAAGAGACTTCAGAATATTTTCCTTTTTAAACACCCTTTTAATATTCGAATAAACTCTATATAGAATAACAAAAGTAATACAGTTGGAATTTCAGTAACATCTTTTATCCTTTAAACTCTACTTCTTTTGCCTTAAATAATAGATTTTGTATTAAATTGAGTGATTTTTTAGGTTGTTTATAGCCAATTTATTTTAGAAAATAATTCCCAATTCTTGCACATGCAATGCAATATGAAAGTGATCAACTTGGAACATCCAATAATTGATTTCTAGAACTGATTTCACCATATGTTTATGTCCATCAACAAACCACATGTGCCTTTCCTAAATCTTCATGCTTACTTATTTGAAAGGGATGAGATACGGGCAGAAGTAACCATTCTTATCTCACTAGAAACACCAAGTCATTTCTCTGTTTTTTAGAGATGATGGTATCATATATGCAGAAATTCATTGAAAACACGTAACTGACTATATTGTGTAAGACTCTTACAATGTTTATTAGCTTCTTAAATGAAATGTTGAGAAAAAGCCAGGGATTTTATTTTTCTAGTTAGGTGCTATGCCTGAAACTCACTAGGAATAGTTATAATTTTTGTTCATTAGGACAGGGTTTAATGCATTTTTGCAGTGACTCATGTAAGCTACTCATGCATCCCTTTATTTTATTCTGTTTAATATAATTAATATAGTGGGTAACAATAAATCTGCAAGCTGCAACAGAATTGATCAAATGAAGAACAAGGGAGGGGGATAAATTTTAGTTAGGTAAAAGAAGCAAATATTCCATATGTAAAAACAAGTAAAATTGGCAAGATTAATTAATGGATTAATTAAATGAATACTTATTACATGTCCATTTTGTGCAAGGCATTTTTTAGGTGTTGGAGAGATAGCAAAAAACAAAGCAAAATAAAATCCTGTCGACATGGAAATTCAATTACAATTTGGGAGTAGGAAAAACTATATAAAATGAATATAAATATATACTGCTGAACATATACATAGAAATCCTGGAAGAAGAAAGGGATGCTGGGAAGAGAAGTTACTATTATAAAATAGAATCATTTAGGTAGGACTTACTCAGAAGCAATTACTGCTTAACAAACCACATCAGAATTTACTGGTTCAAAACAACAGTTATTATGGTTCATGAGAGTTTGGGCCCCTGGGTAATTCTGTAGGTCTGAACCATAGTCATTTGATCTTGGCTAGACTCATTCATGCCTCTACACTCACATGGTGGGTTGTCTCCCTCACATATCTGGATATTTTCAGGCTGTTGACTGGACCACGTATATATCATCTCAAAGGCTAACTCTAAGTTGTTCATTAGGCAGCTTAGCAGAGGTTCAAAGGTATGAGTAAATGCATGTGAGGCCTTGTGAAGCACAGGCTTGAAACTGGCACATAGCCATTCCCACGGCATTCTGTTGGTCAAAGCAAGTCACAAGGCCAGTTCAGACTTAATGGGTGAGGAAATAGATTCCTCTACTCAGTGGAGGGACTGCAAAAGACTACTTTTAAGTGGCATGTTTAGAGTCCGGGAAAAACCGACGACCATTTTCTTTCTATCTATCACTATGAGATTAAAGCAAAATCTGGAAGGATTAGAAAATAAGCAGATCTTAGATTTTGGGCTAATAAAAAAATGTAAAATTAATATGTCACTACTTTCTGAGGGGTATTCAATATATGCCTCAAATCAAAACTGGAAGAATAATATTATAAATATAGGTCTTAGGCAACATATTTAACAATATCAAAGTGAAATGGAAGAGAAGTCTTGTAGGTCATTTTTCTGTACTCATTTGTTCATTTAAAATTATTCAGTGTATCCCTACAAGAATTCTGCTGTGCAACAGGAAAATAGAGTGTTCTCATGTGGTAGAGAATTTTACTTACCCAATCCTCACTGTTAATCAGCACTTGCTCTCTTCATCTGATGGTCCATGTGGATCACCATTGCCTCCTTTTCAGAAGCTCATATGATTTTATTTATTAAAAAAAATTTTTTTAGATTTTTATTTATTTATTTGACAGAGAGAGGCACAGCGAGAGAGGGAACACAAGCAGGGGGAGTGGGAGAGGGAGAAGCAGGCTTCCCACGGAGCAGGGAGCCCGATGCAGGGCTCGATCCCAGGACCCTGGGATCATGACCTGAGCCGAAGGCAGACGCTTAACGACTGAGCCACCCAGGCGCCCCTTAAAAAAAAAATTTTAAAGATGTATTTATTTGAGAGAAAGAGACAGGGGGAGCAGGGAGAGGGACATAGGGGGAGGAAGGGAGAGAATCTCCAGGAGACTGCCCACCGAATGTGGAGCCTGACATGGTGCCCCGTCCCACGGCCCATGAGATCACGACCTGAGCCGAAATGACAAGCTGGGCGTTTAACCAACTGAGCCACCCAGGCACCCCAAGAAGCTTGTGTGATTTTTAACAAAAAGAAAGATACAAAAAAAAAAAAAACCCCAAACAATAAAAATATACTAAATTTCATGCTAGGAGAAATATAATACATATAAGCATAGGCAACTAATTCAGTGAGGAGGGTCAAGAAAAATACCCAGAAGAAAGTGTTGAGTAAAGGTTGGCCAAGCAGAGATATGGGAATAGGAAGTCGCTGTGCCCTAGGAACTAAAAATCACCTAATAGGACCCGAGGTCTTGAAGACACAGACAATGTAGCAGGAGTGTTAGTAGCCTCACACTTGTGTGTTTGTCTTTAAGTGAATGTTTCCCAGTTAAAGGCCATCAGTGATTTTAGGCCTTAAGCTTTAGTAAATATGACCATTACAAATTTTTTTCTTTGGCATGTCATTATGCCTTATGTTAGCTTTAGCAATCATTGGCTACAGAGGAATTGGCAAGTAACAGGCTTGGGGGAACAGGCAAATGGCTGCCATGGAAACCTTGGTAAGCACAGTCCTGGGAGCCTCAGTGTGTGGGCTGCAACAGTAGACCTTAAACCATGTGCTTTTTCCTGAAATTTCAGATGAGAGAGAAACAAGGGGGAAAACCCTAAGAGAGCCATTTAGATCCGGTGAAACAATACTATGAAATGGAAGATGTTTAATAACAATATTTCCTGTTTTCACTGATAGGTTCAGCCAGTTCTGCAAGCTACATCTTTAAAGGTCAAAACAGCTGAGGTCCACATGAGGTATGGAAGAATAAGAATATTCTGGAATTCAAATGTTAGTTCAACATGTAACTAGTTGTGCTAGATTAGCAGTAAAATTCTATTCCTATTAATATTTTAAACTTTATTTGGGTCAGTTAGGTAACCTTAACCATATGTTAATAAGTTGGATCTGGATTTGTTAATTTCAGAAGCCATGATCATTAGTTTTTATGTCAGAGCTTCATGCATAGAAGAGTGGTTAATTTTTAACGAGAAATAAAGGCCTACATTCTTTTTTAAAGTGTATTCCATTTTCATGAACTTTGGTAGAGAGATGAAACAATGAAATACTTAAATTACTGCAAATCCAAAAGCAGAGAAAGACATTATATAGCCCTGTGCCTTAAATATTCTGTCTCTGGGTAGTACATTTATTCAGAAAAGCAAAGAGGAGCTAAAGCTTCTTAGGGGGGAAATGCTTCAGTATTAAATATCAGAAGTAATCATTAGCTAGAGAATGTGAGAATTTTCCTTCTCAAAGAGGTTTAAAAGACAAAATAGAGAGCTATGAAGGAGAAAATGAGATCTCAAGG